GAAGGAAGGAAGGAAGGAAGGAAGGAAGGAAGGAAGGAAGGAAGGAAGGAAGGAAGGATGTGCATAGTGCAACTTTCTTTCTTTCTCTTTTTTTTTTAAAAAAAGGACTGTTTTGGGAAGAGAGCTTGGTTTTGGGTTTCACCCCTTTTCTGCACCCGTCTCCAGCCAGGCCAAAGATCATCTCTTCCTGGATCTTCTCTTCTTCTCATAACCAGTTCAGAGAAAACCAGAGAGAGATTCTAGATGCAGAAAAGAGAATGCAGCCAAGCTGGAAATACGAGCCGGCTGCGAATTCGAGGGTCGCCCAGAGAGTTGGAATTCCGAGCATCTGGAAAATTATTATTTGTGTCTTTTCATTCTAAAGGGCCATTGCTGAAAAGGAGAACCAGTTTGCCTTTGACTTCCTTTTTGAAACAAGAGCTGTTGGAAAATTCCAGTGTGCAAGGACATGTTTTAACTTTTTTTAAACCGTGCACCATTCCTCGTTTTTGTAAGCCAATATATCGACGCGGAAGCATTTTGGTCTAAATTTTTCCAGGTTCCTTGCATTTTGCTTTGAGCTGGTTGGACAGTTTGGGCTTAAGGATTTTTTTTCCCCCATTTCACATTTTTTTATTAGTTGAGCCAAGTATAAAATACAAGTGAGGTGGGGGGAAGGCCTGAAAAAGTAAGAAGAGAAGGACCCAGCGTAAAGGGACGGAGAGAAAAAGAAAGGAAAGTTTCCAGCTCTCTTTTTTTAGTATGGTTTAGGCAACGATGACATTTGTGCTTTTGCACAACAGTTGTACAAGCCATTTCTATAACAAGTTTACAAAAACAACATTTTGTATATATATATATATTTTTCCCCTCCATTTCAGAAGGGATTTTAAAGCAGAGACAAAACTATATACATATATCATTTTTATATATGATATATTATAATTTTATATATATATCTATCATCTGACGAACACAAGATCCAAGCCTGATGATGGCAGATGGGATTTTTTATTTTTTCCTCTTCCCTCTTTCCTTTCGTGCGATGCCATTTTAAGGTGGTTTCTTTGTCCTCTGATCAAACAGAAACTGATCCGCAATTCATACATTCCGTTTTTCTCGATCCGAGGCTGCGGCTGACCCCATAGCTTTGCGGCTACATGTTCGAAACAGCTCCGAAGGGACCCTTTGACCCACATTTCTGCTTAGAAATTGCTCAAGCGGCACTCTTACAAAACTCCAGTTTCGCCAGAAGTTTATTAGGACAGGGGAGAAGATCATAAATGCACACACACACACACACACACACACACACACACACACACCGAAATTCAAGGTCTCTGCATCTGATCCAGGTGTGGGTGGTCTCAAAAAAATATATGAAATAAAATAAAAATTAAAAAAAACCAGATTGAAAGAGAAGGGAAGAAATCCAGGTATTTCTCGGCTTACGGCCGCGATCGAACCCAGCGTTCAGCGAGGCGGTGGTTAAAGCGAGTTTTAATCCTGTTTTACGGCCTTTCTGGCCACGGGAATCGCTGCAGTTGCCTGAATAACAGGGTTACGGGGTGAGTTTGCCCATTGGAAGGTGGCAAAAGCGGATCACGATCCGTCGTAAGTACGAGTCAGTGCCCAAACGTCCAAATTTTGATCAGGTAGGTAACCGTGGGGAAGCTGTGATGGGTCGTAAGTGCGAAAAAACGGTCCAAAGCCCCCTTTTTTTCGGTGCCCGTTGTAACTTCGCTCACTAAACAGACCGTTGTAAGTCAAGGACGACCTCGTAAAACCGAAACAAATAAGAAATAAATCAAATCGCTCCCAAGAACTTTGTGGATTCGTCCTCTTTTCATGGATGCGAAACCCTTCAGACATGGAGTCCTTGAGTTATAACCATCCGTTCAGCGACTGTTCAAGTTATAGCAGCGCCAAAAGTTTCTTACGACCATTCCTCACACTTACGGCAATGGCGGCGTTCGCCCCCCACCGTATAACTGAAACACCTGGAAACTGGCATGTACTTGTGTCGGTTGCAGCATCCCGGAGTGGGGAGTGGAGGAACTCATACAATCTTCACTTGCAAGCTCCCCACTCCCAGTCAACGGAGAAAGCCGGATTCGCTTAAGGACTTGCAATGATTCACTTAACGACCATGGCAAAAAAAAACGGTCATAAAGCCAAGCCTAGGCTCCCTTTAACAACTTTGCTTGACTGAGGGTAATTCCGGAAACGGTGCTGTGATTTAAAACATTGGCACTTTGTGGTGGAAAATCAACCCAAAATCCAACTCAGGTTCTACAGCTCAGAAAGGGTCCATTAAATGAACAGATTGACGGAAGGGACCCCTGGAGGTCATCTAGTCCAACCCTCCCCCACCCACTCAAGTAGGAGACCCTACACCATTCCTGACAAATAGCAGTCTGGTCTCGTCTTGAAAGCTTTAGCCCAGATTTAACAGATTAACAGAGTTGGAAGGGACCTTGCAGGTCATCTAGTCCAACCCCCCCCACCAAAGTAGGAGGCCCTACACCATTTCTGACAAATGGCGGTCTAGTCTCTTCTTGAAAGCTTGCAGGGATGAAGGTCCCACAACTTCCAGCCTCTCCAAAACTAGGATGGGGTGGGGTTTTTTTTTGTCCCTTCTGCAAAATAATTAAACAAAATAATTTACAATGGCTTCTATCTCCCCCCCCATTACCCTGTTTACTGTTTCCAGTGACCATTGCACAATCTTTATGGAGAAACGTAGATTTCTGAAACCAGGAGTTTAAGTAATGAGTAATGCAATCCTTGTTTCTCCAACTTTATTACTCAGAGGTCAGTCGCAACTCCAGAAAGAAAGAAAAACGCCTCCTGACATGTTCAGATCTTATCCAAAACATAAAACCAGATAAGCTAGCCTTAAGCTAGCCATCATAAAACCAGATAACCTAGCCATTCTTCTCCCCTGGTTTTATTTTTTTTTATTTTTTAAATACAACTGTATTTAAAAACTGTAGATTAAAAATACAAAATCCAAATGTGGGGAGGAAAAAGAAATGAAGTGAAGCGAAACAAAACGAGACCAAAACATTGAAAGAAATGTGAATGAAAAAGAACAAAAAATTAGACTATTTTTTTATTTTATTTTTTTGGAATAAAAAGGGTATTTATTTATCGAAGGGAGAAGAGGGGAGTGGGAATACCATCTTGGCTTCCAACGTTTCCTTGGAATCAAACTTGGTTAGAGGGTTTGGCTCCTGGCTGCTTTTTGCAGCCTGGTCTCTGCGAGATCTCTGGGTGGTCTCCTTTCCTGGTTATTCATCGTGTCTGACCTTCGTTCGGCAGTGTTTAAGATTGGACAAGCTCGGATTTGGCTTTGAAGGGCCTGGAAACCAAGGTCAGCCAAGAATGGTGGTCTGGGGGAAACCCTCCATCCTGGAATTAGGCGACTAATTAACATGCAATTAATACATTTCCAACTCCGGATTCAGGTGTTGCCCAAATGAGACAACTGCTCCGCCCCCCCGGAGCTCTCCGTGGTTCTGAAGTGGCCACTTCACTTCGCTGCCAATGGATCAGGCCTACACACACACACACACACACACACACACACACACACCACGAACATGCAAACACGCACGCACGTAAACACACGTCTCAGAAATTGACCAAACTTGTTGAGATGGACGAACCGACTTCTTGGGGTCAGGAATTTATTGGCTGCTCAGAGAAAAATTCCTCAGGGACTTTGTGTGTGTGTGTGTGTGTGTGTGTGTGTGTGTGTAAAAAACATGGCTGGGGGAGGAAAAAAAAATGAACATGTGGTTTATGGCTTGGATGAAGAAACTGTGGAAAGAATTGAACGGATGTAATTTTTGAGAAAGAGTTTAAAGGATTTTTGATGGAGAAACCGCTGTGAAGAATATTCAAAGCTGGTTTTTTTTAAAAAAATATATCTTTCTCTTTATTTTTCTGCTTTCTTCTGTTTTTGTTTCATTATTGCAATTTTAGCCTTTCCTTTCTTCCTTTCCCTTTCTTTCCTTTCCCTTCCTTCCTTCTTTCCTTTCCTTTCTTCCTCCTTTCCTTTCTCCTTCCTTCCTTCTTTCCTTTCTATCTCCCTTTCCTTCCTTCCTTTTCTTTCTCCTTTTCTACCTTTTCTTTCCTTTTCAT